GAGATTAATCCTTTGTCGGTTGCTTCATTTGCAAATACTTTCTCCCATTCTGAGGGTTGTCTTCTGGTCTTGTTTATGGTTTCCTTTGCTGGGCAAAAGCTTTGAAGTTTCATTAGGTCCCATTTGTTTATTTTTGTATTTATTTCCATTTCTCTAGGAGGTGGGTCAAAAAGGATCTTGCTGTGATTTATGTCATAGAGTGTCTGCCGATGTTTTCCTCTAAGAGTTTGATAGTTTCTGGCCTTACATTTAGGTCTTTAATCCATTTTGAGCTTATTTTTGTGTACGGTGTTAGGGAGTGATCTAACCTCATACTTTTACATGTACCTGTCCATTTTTCCCAGCACCACTTATTGAAGAGGCTGTCCTTTCTCCACTGTATATTCCTGCCTCCTTTATCAAAGATAACTAAATATTCTTTTGAAATATATTAGTAGAGTACTACCCTTATTTCAAGCAAATGCTAGTTGGAATGCTTCCGTGTTGTTCTAAAAATGTTACTGTGTCTTCTTCACTTGATTTCCCGCGAGGCGTGATTCTGGTAATGTGTACAATCAAGTTTCTTATTTTTAGGTTTCCATATTATTGTGAAAATTTGATTTTAAAATGTTAAATGTCAACCACATGTTAAAGTAGTTCTTCCATTTAGGCAAATTTAAAATATACCAAAAAATTTTGCCACAGATTTTAGCTGGGTGAGAATTTTTAAATTATTCTATTATATAATTTCTCAAAACATGAAACTCCTAAGGAGATTCCCATAATAGGTGTGTATGTGTGGTGGGGGTGATATCAAAGCAGGTGCACTAAAATATACAGCTAAATTTACTGTGTATAGAAACTTCAAATTCATGTAAAAGCTCATTGGAAAGATCAGATATACGCCTACAGGTACAGAAAATAATCTCAAGAAAGTGACTCTGTATGAAAACTCTAGGGAAATAAAAAGAAGCTCACTGAAATTCCAAGTAAGATGAATATTGTAGTTTTGGTTGGCTCCACTTCCATCCCTATCTGGAGAACAGTAGGTGGAGCTATTTAAGGTCTGAAAACCAAAATCCTTTCCCGGAGATCAAGATTGTGCAGTAATTGGTTAGGACTCTGAGCGCCGCTGTTCACCAATCAGGGAGAGAAAAGCAGAGAGAGATCCTGCTAGGCGGGCACTCGCGTTGAAGCACAAAGCACGGATAGAAACTAGCCATCTCCGGGATTGTGAGCAAAGTGATTGGAAGAGCTCGGGTCCCCCAGCTGTCGGATTTTAAGGACGGATGAGCTGATCCGGACTTCGGTGATCAAGGGAAGAATTGGAAATAATCCTCAAGGAAAGTGACAATGATTCCTGCGCGACTGCACCAGGACTGCAAAAAGCTGGTCCTGCTGGGAGTTCTCCTGGGGGTTCAGTGGGAAACTGGATGCACCCAAATCCACTATTCGGTTCCTGAGGAGCTGGAGAAAGGCTCTAGGGTGGGGAACATCGCCAAGGATCTGGGGTTGGAGCCCTGGGAACTGGAGGAGCGCGGAGTCCGCATCGTCTCCAGAGGTAGGACACAACTTTTTGCTCTGAATCCGCGAAGCGGCAGCTTGGTCACTGCCGGCAGGATAGACCGGGAGGAGCTCTGTATGGGGGCCATCAAGTGTCAACTAAATCTGGAGATTCTGATGGAGGATAAAGTGAAAATATACGGGGTAGTGGTAGAAGTGAGGGACATTAATGATAATGCCCCGTATTTCCAGGAAGGTGAATTAGAAATAAAAATGAGTGAAAATGCAGCCACTGGGATGCGGTTCCCCCTTCCCCACGCTTGGGATCCGGATATAGGGAAGAATTCACTCCAGAGCTATGAGCTCAGTAGTAATACTCACTTCTCCCTGGACGTGCAAAGCGGAGCGGATGGTAATAAATATCCGGAATTGGTGCTGGAGCGCGCCCTGGACCGCGAGGAAAAGGCCGTTCACCACCTGGTTCTCACGGCTTCCGACGCGGGCTATCCAGTCCGCAC